TTCTCTATTTAAAGGAAAATGTCATGTTTAAGTTGTTTGCTTTAGGATAATAACATCATTTCTTGAGGTAAAGATCGAGTACCTGAATTGCGGGGTTGGAAGTCAAAAGAAGAGAGATGCCAAGGCCGTCAAATGCTTCACTCCAACTGCCTCCGTAAGTGTTTGCCAAAGCCCTTTTGATTTTCCAAAAGCGCTTGTCTGCATCCTCGATGATGCTGTATCCAGTGGCTACATAGTGCATGATACAAAAATGATGAAGGGTAAAAAATTTTAGAAGTGAAACATATATGTTACATTTAGTTGAACAAGATGATGAAGGGTAATGAAAGAAAATTTGCATGATACAAAAACCATTGCAAACCCCTATTTGTCCTAGGATTCCAGGAGGCAAACAGAAAAAAAAATTTAGCCCAATGTATATAAATTTTTTACCACCACTCCAGCCCATGTATATAAAATTTCTTCCTTTTCCTACATGTAATCAGAAACCAACTGCAGGGTAATTCAGTCTATAAAGTTTTTATTCAAATAACAGAAAAGTTGGGTATTTCACAAAATAAATGTCATTCTTTGGTTTTTCAAATCATACTAAAGAATCTAGTCATACAATCGCAACATCGAGTAATTTCTTCAGTTCCTTGCCAAATTCAGCTGAAGTAACATTTGCACTTCACCCTTTATAAAGTCTTTTCTAGGTCTTCATGATACCAAGTACATCATTAAATTACATTTATAATGCCAACAAAACAGAAGCTGAAATTGAGGTTTGCAATATAGATAGCATTCTCAGGTTCTGCATCACCAGTTTCACGTTTTTTAAAACAATTTCAAGCTGGAGATTGCAGAATGATAAAAAAAACTACCTGAGTCACAATGGCAGTACATGCCCCAGCAGCAGCAGCAAGAATCAAGTTAGCTCTTGTTCCAATGGATTTGAAACCAGTCCTTTCCAGATACAACCTTTTGAAGTAGCTATACCCATAGAAGTAGACAAACTGAGCAATGAAAGATTGCAAGTTCTTGGTTCCCAGGCCCTGGTACAATGAAAGGACCTGATGGGTAGATATTGCCTCTGCAAAAACATCCGACAGGTTCCTGCATAAGCCATAGAAAATGAGTTGACATGTACTATAGTCTATGGACAAATAGTAAGCCTTGATTACTGATAATATAAATTTGTGCCTGCAAAAAAAGTGGGATGTGAGTAGGGGGACTATAAAAATCAAACTAATCGTTTACTAAAATTTTTGGAAGAATAAGGGGACCAAATAGTTGACTGTTTGTAATAAATAGATTGAAATGCCCGAGAAGCATATTTCTTTTCTTCCAAGAATCAGAATACAACTCGTATCTGACCTCATTGTTTAAAAAAAACCACAGAAACAGAAACAGAAACCAATCCAGAGCTCCTCCAATCATGTGTTTGACTCATATAGTTCTGGTTATGTGGGTGGTGCTTTGTGGTATCATAAAATTATTGGTGTACTAAAGGTTATTGTTAAGAGTTTTTTATGTAGATTTGTGTGGTTTTTTTAATTTATGGGGGATTGCCAACTCTAGTACTATGAATGTAGCAACGACTATATCCTCTAATGTCATTGCGGTTGAAGGTCATGGTATTGACCATCAACTCGGGAGGCTCTGAGATACATGGATCGCGGCATCACGGAACGGTGTTGAGCAATACGAACTAAAAGAAGAAGTTGAACATGGCGAGAAATTCAAGTCATGTCGGGCTGTCCAGAAACAGTATCAGCCGATTCGATGACAATAACTCGAAGACTCGGGGTTAATCCGAAGAAATCTGGATGACTCAACCAACATGTGCGAAACGTGGAGTTTATACTTAACGGGGAACAATATCGACATGGAAGAACCGAGTCAGATATGACTAGGCTGATTGTATCAGTATCAGCCGATGCTTTGAACCTTGCATTGCTAGTGGGCACAAGCTATGAAGGTGGCATTAAGGGCTAGGAGGAAGTTGAAATACATTCTATCTGATCCTCCATCTTTTGATGATGAGAACAATGAGGAATGGGAATCCGAGAACTATGTGGTTATGTCTTAGTTACGAAATAGTATGAATCCTCCATCTTCCAATGATAAGAATAATGAGGAATGGGAATCCAAGAACTACGTGTGGGCAAATTTCTTGTTTTTTCCATTTTTTAAGGAGATTTGGGAGGTTGTTCGTGAGGCATACTGAGGGCGAAAATATATCTCAAGTGTATAAGGTTTACGAGAACTTGTTCCTTCTTCAAAAGAATTCTAAGTTTGTGTATGACTACTATAGCACCTTCAACGGCCTTTGAATCAATATCACCTTTTCACTAGTGATCGGAGATTCCTATGAACCAAAATTTAGAGTCGTACATTTTTAAATTTCTTCCCAAACTTTATCCAAATCTTCTATGGGCTCAAATTTTGGTAGTAAATAAAGTATTCCTTCTTTGAGTAATGTGTATGTTAAAATTGTTCAAGTTACTACTGGATATATGCCATACACTTTGAGATTGGAAAAGTTTTCACTATTGATCTATTCTCTCTCTTTTTTTTTTTATAGGAAACAAGAACTTGTATTAAGAAAGTACATCAAAAAATGTTGGATAAGAAATCCAAACAGTTGGTGGTTTTGAAAGATGGAGTACTAACACTGGTTTTGGAGGTCGTGGTGCTGGACGTTATAATTCTCGATTTGATGGTTATGGTACAGGCCGCGGATAAGCTAGAGGTAGTGGGACTAATAATGTTCAAAAAGTGTACTCATTGTGGGGAAGAGAATCCCATTGCATATTGCTGTTTTGATCTCCACTATAAACCTTAGGTTAAATGCTTTGATCTTCACAGTTTTGTAATTTCTAGTTAATACATATACTATCAATGGACGACGTACATTGCACATAAACAATTTAAATAATAATTTTTTTGTTGAATCTATGAAAATATGAATTTTATGTGTAATTAAATTAAATAATAAATTTGGTATGGGAGAATTAATCTATGTTTTATTTCTTGTTAAAGATAATTATTGAAAAAAAAAATCAAATATAACATATATTTTGATCTTAGAATTCAATTTGATAACTACATGTATAGAATAAAAAAAAATAGAGTTGTCTTTGCTTCGGAATATAGATATAGACATAGATAAAATAATTTGAAAGTCAAATACTAGCTATAAAAGAATTCAAAAGAACTTAGAAGTCAAAGGTATAAAAACAAAAATTCGATGAAGGTAAATATAGGAATATAATTGACTTAAATAAAACATATTAGGTATATATGTATCTAAATTAAATATCATCTCAAATTTATCAAACTTAATTTTTCATTACTCATATTCTATTATGAGAATATGAAAACTTCGTATGTTTCCAAAATTCTTTATTCTAACTATAAAAAAATTTAAAAAAATAACTAAAGTTCCATTTTTTTTTAGAATTTTGTGATTGAGATTTATTTTTAATTGATATTTAAGAAATTAAATTTTTTAAACTTCATAAATACAATACAATATTTATTTTTATATAAAATCTTAGTACAACTGAAAAAGTTTATTGTGACTGAAGAATTATACTAATTTAACATAAATTAATTTTAAAAAATTATATATACAATTATTTTTTATCTTAGAAATGAAAGGGTTAAACTTTTTGATGAAAAGAAAATACATATATGTAAACATAATGTTATCTTTGCTTATGAGATGAGTAATATTAGATTGGTGGAGTTTTTTAAGGTTTTTTGAACACTTTATTGAAAATATAATGATGCATATCTTTTTAAGGTAACCAGTCAAATTTTTTTATAGAAACTGATATTTTTACATAAAGAATAGATAATTAAAAGAGATGTTATAGATAATTTGGATATTTAAATACATAAAGATATTATGGTAATTTAAATATTTAATTGTGAAAGGTAGAGTAGTCTCTGCAATCTTTGATAAAGGTAAAATAGAGATTCAAAAAATTTTCTTATTAGTAGAATAGATTATTATTATTATTAAATAAATATATATCTAGAGCTCGTCTCCCATTCAAGGTAGACTACTCACTTATATTTCATCATCTCAACAAATAATATCTTCACAGCAAACCGCTCAACAATCCAGACTCCAGAGTACTCAAAGTGTTTGAATAAAGTTAATAGTTCCAAAGGGCTACACAATTTCTTATGAGAGTCGAGAGGAAAAATACTTAAATTTTTATCAGAAAACTACAAAAACTAAAGGCTTGTGAATAATGTACAGTCGTCAAGGGACAAAGGAAGTGAAGCGGACAAAACTTAATGTAGGACTAATAAAAAGAATATAGGAAGAACTACACTGTTCTCCATTAAATCTTCATTGCCGAAATTCTCATTGCAATCAACCTTTGTGAAAGAACAAAACAAAACTAAGAGAATCAGTTACCTGTCGGTTTGTCAAGCCAAACAGATATACTATCACCATGACCGAAAAAGGTTAAAAACCCTCTCTCACCCTTTCGCTGTCCTTCTGTCCTTTTCTGTCAAAAGATACAGAATCCTAAAGTCCCTTGATCCCACTCCCATGTTTTAAATCATTGAACTCTTTTCTCTAGCTGGCCCATACTACTCAACCAATAAGCACTATCTGTCCAACGCTGATATCGACTCTACAAAAGCATCTTCTTCCATATTGCATACCAAATCTGTTTAGCACACTGGAAATACTGAGGAACTATTGCCACTTGCCACCTAAAGGAAACATTTGATAGGACTAATATAATGAACATTCGTTGTCAATCTCCCAAAGAGCTTTAGGAAAACAAAGAGGAAAACCTCCTGCATGGTACCAAGGAAGCAAATCCAAATGTTCTTGGACCAACATATAAGCCTAAGGCAAGTCATTAGCAACTAGAAATCTCTATTGCCCGTATGCTGCTCTCATAGCTTCGACATAAAACTATTTGATCCCACTAACAAATGCTCTTGGGCCAATAGTTAATTATAATACCAACTTTACACCCATGGTACCAATAAATCAAACAAAGAAACTAAAATAGCCTCACTAGTCCAGCTACAGTATTGTACACAGCAGCACAGGACAGACAGTACAGAACTTCAGCAAATGCTACGATCCCCGTAAATCGGAAACTATAAAGTGTCTGCAAAAGCCACAGTCAGTGAGGTCCAATACTACTGATGTCTTAAACAAATGTACAAATAAGAAAGCAAACCTATTGTCGCCAGGTTTTCCTAGAGTATCCCATGCCACTTTAGGAGCTCTCACAGACAACTTTAGACTCGCAAGTAAAAGTGATAATCATTTATCCAAAAAACTACTAGCGGTTACTAAGAAGACCAGACACAGATCGAAGGAACTATTGCTAATATTCAATACAGTCTCACAGCGGAGGTAGTGAAGGAAGGACAAACCATCACAGACTAAAACAGCATGACAAGGTCCTCAGGCACCAGTATTTCATTGCATGAATATTGACAACAAGTAGGAAATACAAGGCCTTCAGAATGCAGATGCCCATATAAACTTAACTTTTATGAACCAAACACTTTGATTTTCTCAAAACTAACCAATCCTTCCTCAGAACAGCCACAGAATGTTAATTTTAAGACATGGGTAAGCAGCATAGACAAGAAAAATGAATGATGCAACTCTGGAAGCATGAATTCCAAATGTAGCTGAAAATTTTGCACCAAAAGAGCTCATAGAGTTCGTAAACAGTGAAAAGGTCACAGAAAAGAAAACTGGTAGGATGTGTACAAGATATTGAGCTGTCGATGAAAAATAGGGCAAGGAAATAGTTGCAAACTAAGAAGCATGGACACGGATACGGGACACGACACGGACACGCCGATACGACATTTATCAAAAAAGTAGGACACAGACACGTTGAGGACACGCTACAAAAAATTATATTTTATATATAACATTATATAATTTATTGCAAATATAGTGATAATAATATACAATTCATAAAAAAATCAGTATTTTTTGATAAGAAAACCTAATGTCTAGTCATCTATGTGAATTTTTAGACTAAAACATTCTCTTTATGATCAATAATCATCAATTTTTTTTTATAGACAATGTGTACCTAATATATAATTTTAATAGTTACTCTCATTTTCTCAATTCCTCTTTTTTAAAACTTTTATGCGTGTTTTGTTTTTATTATTATATTTGGAGTACAACTTTACTGACTAGTATTAGTAATTATATTTTCTCAAATTTTTAAGATTTGTTAATCTCATTTCAGCAAATGTCAATTGTTTAATAGTAGAAACGTTCTAAAGAAGTGTCGGACACGTCATCAAAGAAGTGTCCGAAATTAAAAATTTATCATTTAATTATGGATACGGATAAAAGAGTATT